TTCCGCATGGCTCACGCAGGAATGAATGAATGGCTGGGCGCTGCCTCTTGATTTATACTTCAGAAACTCGTTGGTCTGCCCTTTGCCATTGGCCCTTGGTGCTCACAGTCCCCCTGTGGTACTTGCTGGACCGAACTGGGACTGACTGGACCTTCTGCTGACTGACTGTGGACTCACCGCTATCCTACCGACGTTGTACTGCTGTTGCACTGCGGTTTAGTCCACCACTTGCCTCACCACTTGACCACTTGCCCACTTGCCTACCTTCTAGAAGGTCTATAGCTAAGCTTCCGGAACTCACTAAGACTCCTACGCTATAGACCTACAGATCGAACCCCTGCTGCCTATGGACCTGCGACAGGCCTACCAACTGCCTACGAATACACAGGTCACAGGTTCAATTCCCGGGGTCTACACAGATACTGTACGTGGGTAGGGTGAGGTCTAGGGATCGAACCCTGGGTACTGCATCCGCTACTGCTAAAAGGTGAAAACCGTTTCAAGTTTATGTTTCTGCGAGGCCGTGGCCGTGTACTGGTGGTTTAAACCACTAATCTGGTCCAGTGCCTACCCCCCATTCACGTTCACCGGGGTAAAAGGCATGACCGGTTGGGTGACCTCGATGCCTGGTCCCGCTAGTTCTTCTTTTTTTTTTTGCCAGTGGGGGTTCTTTTTTTCTGGGTGGTTGGGTGTGTGGGGCGTTGTACTGCATCTCCCTGATTTTCTTAAAAACGTTTGAAGTTGATTTGCCGTTTTTTTATTAAAAAAAAAGTAGGTTTTCTAGGTGGCGGCTGTAGCAGGAAGGGCACTTTGTTGGCGAGGGCAGGGCCGGGGGCCGGAGAGGAATAACGACGTTGAAGTTGTTGCGGTGTGTGTTTGGCGTAATGCACAAAAGACAAAAAAATTGCTGTATCTTCTTGTGTTCTGGCAGAAGATACATTCTCACTTACCTTTTTGGTGAGTAGAGGACTGGGGGCCAGAGAAAGGGGACAAGGGCGGAGGCCCTCTTAAAGTTTGTAGAAAAGAGCGGGAGGACCTTTCTTCCCACGTCTGGCAGATGTGCCCTCTTGGGTGGCCCTATGCCAAGTTGAGAGAGAGAGAGAGAGAGAGAGAGAGAGAGAGAGAGAGAGAGCACCCGACCATGACAACGCTGACAGATGAAGATGACGAGGAAGATGAAAGATAAGGAGCATGAGCATGATTTATGAGGACAAGGTAAGATAATAATGACACCAGTCACCTATTGACGAAATGGAGTGGGTAAGGAAACAAAAGCTGCTTCATGTCGGGAGGGTTAGGGAAGGGAGGGGCGTCACATGACGCAGCCACGGGGCTGGATCGTTTATCCATTTTCATTCTTTTCGTTTTTTTTTTTTTTTTGTGTGTGTGTGTGTGTTAGAGAGAGAGAGAGAGAGAAAGAGAAGRGGGGGGGGGGGGGTTGGGGGGGGCGCAGGGGAGGGAGAGGGAAGGGGTAAATGGGAGAAGCAGGCTATAGTGGTTCCGTTTTTCTCTCCTGATCGGGAAAATGAGTAGAGGCAGGGCAACATTGGGAAGGAGTAGAGAGGGAAACAAGCGGCCATGAAGGTGGGACATGATGATGGGATTGGGTTCTTGATGACCAGCCTGAGGGTGGAAAGGGTCTCTGGATCCAAATGCAATGGGAGGGAGAGGAGGAGGTGGTGGAGAAAGGACGAGGGAAAAGGAAGATGGGTGTGGCAGTCATTGGGGATTTAAGATTGGGGCGACGCAGGACAAGTGCAGCCATTGCAGGGCGATGGGATCAGGTGAAAGGAGGAAGGGTGCCACATATGAGGGAAGCGAGTGGGTAAACAGACACAAGCTGCGCCGCGTGGGAAGGGTTAGGGGGACTTGGGGGGGAGAGGGGGTAAAAGGCATGGTACGTGGTGCAGCCACGTGGCTAGATCGTCTTTTTCGTTGTCTTTTTTTTCGTTTTTCTGGCGCGATTGTCTTTGTTTTTTTTATGTTTTATTTTTTCTTTTGTGCGTGTGAGAGAGAGGGGGGCTGGGAGGGGGAAGGCGAGAGGGTTAGGAGGCAGGGCAACATCGGGAAGGAGTGGAGAGGGAAACAAGCGGCCATGACGGTGGGACATGATGATGGGATTTGGTTCTTGATGACCAGGGCGGAGAAGGTCTCAGGATCCAAATGCAATGGGAGAGAGAGGAGGAGGTGGGGGAGTAAGGTCAAGGGAAAAGGAAGGGTGTGGCAGTCATTGGGGATTTAAGATCGGGGCGATGCAGGACAAGTGCATCCATTGCGGGGAGATGGGATCAGGTGAAAGGAGGACGGGTGCCACATTTGAGGGAAGCCAGTGGGTAAAGAGACACAAGTTGCGCCATGTGGGGAGGGTTAGGGGGAATTGGGGGGAGAGGGGGTAAAAGGCATGGTACGTGGTGCAGCCACGTGGCTCGATTGTCTTTTTCGATGTCTTTTTTTTTTCGTTTTTTTGGCGCGATGTGATGAACCACTTTCTTTGTCGCGCGACTTTCTGCGCGATGACGATGAGGGGTCATGAGATGGGAAGGTTCGCCTCCCCCTTCGGCGGTGATGCCAGTGGACAGGCCCGGGACAGACGGCTGAGTGTGCGCGCCCCGTTGGGCGCGATTAATAACGGTTGGCGATGGTTCTTTCTTGCTCTGCTGGGAATAAAAGGGGGGAATTGAGATTTTTGGCGCGATGATCGCACGGGAGCTTTCCATTTCCTTTTCAAATTTTCCTTTCAACCAAGGACGAGCCCCGAGGGCTCTCGGAATTTTGATTTCTTTTTGCTTTTCTTCCGTCTTGTCGGAATTTTTCTGTTGCAATTTTGAGTTCAAATATGAACTTAGGACTTTTTGAAATTCTTGTTGAGCGGCGCCTCTTTCTTGAGCACATCTTCCTGCGGCGGGAACGAAGTTTTGACTAAGCGGCGCCCTTAATCTTGCATGCAACTGTAATCGTTGGGCGGGCGCCATTGTAACTAATCTCTCTTCTTGTTCCCTCACCTTCTTCCCGCCCTTTCCCTTCTTTTTGCTGAAAATGATTGGCCTGAGCCTGTATGCCTAGATCGATGCATGGAGAGTGACTACGTCCCCCACGCCACGATCTGGCCATGCCAAGCGTAGGCACTTCCTTCTCTACTCCTCTTTCTAATCTCTGCAATCTCGCATCTTTGCGCA